GGGCGGGGAGGCGGGAACGTTCCCCCCGCCCCCAGCGGCGATTTAAGACAATTTAGTCAGATTTAGAGTTACTCACACTTCACTTTCTTGCCCGCGGCGATCCCAGCGAGTGCGGTCTTTAAGTCGAGGCAAAGTTCCTCGGGCATTTTACTGGGGAGGGAGCGGCGGCCGTGGGGGGCATGAGGAGATGTGCGCGAGGGTGAGAGGAGGTCTCTGGAAGTTTCCAGGGTGGCCGCGGGCAAAGCCGGGGTGGGCCTCGGTGTCCCCTCAGGGTTCTCCTCGCTGGCCTCTGCGACGTGTCCAACTAGGAAATACTGCATTTTTTTGAAGGGAAACGGCTTCAGTCACATAAGAAGGGGCTAATTTCTTCTCCGGAGGAGACATTGTTGTAGCTGAAAGAGGTGTTTGCTGGTTCACCTGAGCTCAGTGCTGTCGGACTGATAGCTTAAATTAAGTCCCAGCAGTACGTTCTTGTTTAATTAAGAGCAGGAGTTTTCCCAGGCAAAAGTTTGGGAAAGAAGCTGACCATATCCTACACATTTGTGGAGAGTGCATGTTACGGCTCTTCGGAGCCTGAGATAAGGTTGCAGGAGTCAACAGAAAATTTTACGTTTTTTTTTTTTTTTATCTTTTAAAATAAGCTTATAGGTCCCAGTCCTAAATTTCCATTGAGTTAATGGGCTTTGCATGCAGTAGGAATTCAGCAGCAGTGCTTGAATTAATGTAAAGTAACTGAAAATAAATACCCAAAGCCTCATGGGGGGGTGGGGGGTGTCAAAAAAGAAGTGCTAATAGCTGCTCTGAAAGAAGAAGCACCAGTTTTTCTTAAAGCTTTAAAAAAAAAAAAAAAGAAAGAAAATCTAACAGTGGAAATACAGTCTGAAGATCAGAGAAGATGGAAGCAGGTGAAACTGAATTATAACATTCAATCCAGTCTTTAGCCTGAAAAAAAAATAAGATGCAGTCCTGCAAGAGGGCCTGTTACCTATGAAACCATTATTTTAGCATTTTCTTTCTAGAGGCTGTCACACAGGGAAGACAAAGATTGGAATACAATTACTAGTGAAGGACTATGGGTTTATTAAAGGAGTAGTTAAACAGCTTGATCAAGGTGCGCAGGTAATAGATTTGATAAGAAAGGCTACACAAAGATAAAAACATATCCAACCATATCAAGAATTAAATCAAAATAAATCATAACTAAAAACAAAAAGCAAATTTTAAACA